TTGACCATCCTTAAAGATCTATAGTAGGTTTTTATTTATTAATTATGAGAATGTTTGTGTACTTGTTATTGCCAACTTAGCATTGAACAAGTATACATATCCCAATTTCTATTGGTATGTGTCTTTACCATCAGTTTTTTTTCTTTCTTTTAAGTCTGTCATTATAAAAAAGAAAAAAAGAAAAAAAAAATTGTCCCCCCAATCTATTTTTCTAGATCTGTGCCTGATTTTAATATTAATTTCAAAGTAATTTATTGAAAACATTAAAAATAATATTATAAAAATTAATTTAATTAAATATATTATCATTTATGGTTGTAGATATTAATTTAACTAATTTATCCAATTAGAATTACTTATAATATACAATTAAATAATTAGCATACATGTTTGAATCATACTAACTTAATGAATAATTAAATTATTAATAAAATTTTTAAAAATATAGTCAACTTAACCGTTAAAGGGTAAAGCTCCACTGAATATATCATTTGTAATGATGATACTATTGAACAATAAATAATATATTAATAAAGTTAATATTTGATGGCCGTGTATAATTCAAAATTCTAAATTTCACCTTAGAAATATCTATATACAATAAAAAAATCTTCAAGTTTTACATAATATAGTTTTTATTATATACTATTTTACAAATGAAAATTGTAAACAACATATTTAAATATCAAAATTTAAATTATAGCACTTGATAATCATAGAAATATATAATATATCTATATATTTAAATTTATACTAATTAACTCATTATATATGTTGAAAAATAAATATAAAACTAAAATTAAATATTTAACCATGAAAAAGTTGTGCTGCATAAAGGTTAAAGTTAATAAATTATAATTTAATTATAAAAAGTTTTAACTTTTCATTCACTTAGAATTTTAATAAAGGAAGATTAATATTATGGGTTAAACATTGGTCAATTTTATCAAGCAATGTGCAAATTATGAATTGTTAAAAAAAGTTATTATACTAAGATAATCTACAATTTTGTAAGTACATGTAAGTAATATGTAAGGAAATATACATTTGTAATATTTTATATACTAATAGCTAATAAAAATTTTGAATTGTTAAAAAAAGTTATCAAACTAAGATAATCTACAATTTTGTAAGTACATGTAAGTAACTTGCAAGGAAATATACATTTGTAATGTTCTATAAACTTATAGCTAATAATTTTATATACTAAATAATTAAGACCTACAAAAAGAAATAAATAATAATAGTAAATAAATAATTTTCATATTTTTACCAAGTCGAATGAGTTGAATAAAACTGCATATTGTATCAATCAATTTAATAATATTTACATAATAAAATATTTTTGTGCTATATTCCGTGCATCGCACGAGTATCCACTAGTAATAGAGTTAAAAACGAAAATAATGTCTTTTTTTTACTTAAATTTTTAAAAGTTACTATAATTGGTAATTTTGTTCGAAATTTTTCATTTATCCCGCCTTGATCATTTTTGAATTTTAAAACAAGTCAATGTGTAAAATATTTGAAGTTAATAAATCTATTGTGTCCATAATTATCTAACAATTCCTTATCAAAACATATCAAAACATTTACAACACCCTGTGATATACTGGTGTTGTACTAGTGATAAAATTAATAAGAAGCGATTAAGAAAAGAGTGAAAAGAGAGAAATTGCATATATCTAAAATATATCAAGAGTGATCTCTATTTATAGAGAATGAAAAAATACGAATTTTGATATTTTTTATTTATTTTTTTCATATAAATTTATATCAGTAATTTGAATTATAATTATCTTATTGTATAAAATTATATTGACCAATAAGAATGGGACAAGCGTCCCATTCCACTCACCTAATTTATGTCTCTCTCCTTGTGGCCGAGTTGCGACCCAAGGTCACAATATGACCTGGGTGGCGGGATTTTTCATTTTTTTTTCTTTTTATTTTTTTTTTATTTTTTATTTTTTTTAGCTGGTGACCCAATGACATGGGTCACCGATAAGGATAGTCTTAGACTATGTTTGGTAAAACTAGCTGATAGCTGATAAGCTAGCTTATAGCTTATCAGCAACTTTTTAGCTTATAGCTTATAGTTTATGACTTATAGCTGATAAGCTAGCTTATATGATAAAAGTGTTTGGTAAAATAAATTGATAAGCTAACTGGAATAAAAAATTCAACTAACTTATTTGAAAAACTACCTAAGGAAGCTTATCAAATAAGCTCGAGCTTTTTTAAAAAGCTCGTCCTACCAAACGAGGCTTATTCGAATACAAGGAGCTTATAAGCTAACCAAATAAGCTATAAGCTAGCTTATTTGTCTACCAAACATAGCCTTAACAATAACTTGTTTTTGACATGATCAAAGTTGTCATTGAGCCCCATTAGAAACCGCATCAGCTTTGTCTGCATATTTTGCTGAGCTATAGATTGTCCTATTTCACAATTGCAGACCAATTGAGATAGCAAACACTCTAACTCGTCCCACAACTTTTTCAGCTTAGTGAAATAGGTCATAACTGAATCATTTCCCTGTTTTAGGCTTGAAATATCTCTCTGCAGTGGATTATCTTCTCGCGCATCTGAGCTTCCTCCAGCTCTTGCATTGAGCAATGGCCAAGCTTCAGTTGATCGATTGCTCGCCATGGATGAAAAAGCTCAAAAAACGGCAGGATCGATGCAAGCTCCGATACCATGTAGAAATTCGAAGAGAGAAATTGAAAGATACTTTTATTTCACCATATCTGGAAATCGTACATGCATGAGTGCATTTATATCACATGCACAAAGTAAACAACGTCGTATTACATTGCACTAGACAACACCACACACTACGACGCCGTATCTAGCCTAGAAACGAAAAAATGCAACTCGATTATTTAAGTCGCACACGACTTATTCCAAACAGATAGAGAAAGTTGTTATAACCGCAGCTTAGAGGCAAAACCACTAAGAGAGTGAGAATTCAATCATTTCTACTGTTCTGCTTATTTACATAATTTTTTAGTAGTTTTCAATACGACTTAAATATCAACTGTAATGAATTAAAGAAAATGATCCTACGTTGCCTTACAAAATAAAATTGAGTTACTACTGATCACATTATGGAAGCATGAATCCTGTCAGAATTATATCGAGAATATAATTTTTATACCACTTAATTTCTTAAGCTTTTTTAACTACATGATTGTCATTCAAGTTTCTAACGTATGCTTGTAGATATTTTTCGGTCTTTAACAATTAGTCAGCTAATAATTTGTTTGTTAAAAAATTCAAACTGAGTGGGGCCTAAAGCAAAATGAGCTCTACATCACAAATAGCTACGCTTATGTGGAAGCGAAGGTTAACACAGATGGAAGTTTTGTACCCCACACAGGTATGGCTAGTGCGGATGGTATTATTCGAGATTATACGGGAAAATGGTTGAATAGTTTTTTTTAATGATATTGGTTTTTGTTCAATAATTGGAGCCGAACTTTGGGGTTTATTTCAAGGCTTGAAGCTCGCATGGGATATTGGAGCGCGCAATGTAATTGTGGAACAGGGACTTCTGTCGGGGAGTACACACGAGCCTCTTGCGGGGTGTGAAGGAGCTCTTGAGTAGACAGTGGCATATGGCTTTGCACTTTGCAGCATGGTTATAGAAAATCAAACTTTCTTGCCGATTTTTTTGGCCTCGCTTGCGGCTTAAGGGCCCGACGGTTTTCATCGCTTAGATAATCGTCCTTCGGGAGCAAAGATTTGGTTAGATCATGATGTGATAGGGGTGTCTTATCCTCGAAATGTCTTATCCGCCATAGTTAGGTTTTGCCTCCATTTCTTGTACCTAAAAAAAAAATGTGGGAATCTCCCCGAAGTAAAATAGTGTGGGAGTAGCGTAATTAATTATTTGTTGGTATGACTCATATATTGACAAAGGAAGGGTGCAGGCTGATGCCTGCGAGCGTAACGGAGCGAACGTAGCGAGGGAAGCGGAGCGACCGAGCGAAGTGAGTGGAGTGGAGCGAGGGCGGGTCGATTAGTTGGGCCGGGGGTGCGGGGGCAGAGCCCCCGCGGTACAGTACGGGGTATTTAAGTAAATTAATACCTTGTAGGGTTATAGTATAAATACATGGTGTATTGATGTATTTGAGACTATTGAGAATAATAAAGATCCCTCAGCCGCCGTGGATGTAGGCAGATTGCCGAACCACGTAAATCTTGTGTTGTTTACTTTTTTCGTTTTTTAATTCGTATGTCATATTGTCATCTTTACTCAACAATTATTCTTTTCTCTTTAGAAATAAGTCAAAAATAATAATGGTCCACTAAATTCATGATAATCCTCCCAACATATACAGAATGTATTGATAATTATGGTAAAAATTAAACTTTTTTCAGCAAATATGTTACAGATTTTTTGCTTAATGCAATGGTCAAATGGGAAACCAAAATCTGAAAAATTCATCAAGTAATTAAACAAATTTATGACCTGATTTCATGATGGTGATGCAAGACTTTCGAGTTTTTAAGTAATAAACTCTTCATATTTCGAAGTCACATAAATTTTAGGTAACAAATTATATGATATTATTAGTCATTTGATATTTACTGTCTTCAGTCAAGTTCTTTTACTTCTTTTAAAAGGCTATAAAATACTAACAATAACACTGAATTCGATATCAAATTATAGGTATTCAAATTTCATGATCCTAAAGTAAATTACCGGTCAAAATTATGTGGTGTATCGTGGGTCGGTCAAAATTCACTGTTACAACTGAAAAAAGAAAAAGAAAAAGAAAATTATAAACACATGATATTCCATTTCATTTTGAGGAGATTGTTGAAATTACGTGGTTTATGGAAAAAATTTAATTCGCCAAATAATAATGCAGATTAAATTCCTGTGATTTTGTCCTTCAAAATTAATAAATAGCAGCAGAGAAACTCGTACAGAGACCACTTAGGAAAAATTATAAGAGAAAACAAAATTAAAAACAAAATATACACTCCAAATGGCTGCAAATGTCATAGCTCTGATTATGCTATCGTCCTTTGCCGTCTGGTCGGTTAACGGCGACATCCCGTCGAGGCTTTTCGACGTGACAAAGTACGGCGCGGTTGCTAACGGAAGGACAGACGACAGTTTGGTCGGTGGCCAAATTACAAAATTAAAAACTTATAATAATAATAATTGGTTAAACCTCGTAATTTTATTACAACTGATTTTAATTTTGGCGTTGTCAGGCATTTCTGAGGGCGTGGCAGGACGCGTGCGCGTACCGGGGGAAGAGCGGCGTTTGGATTCCACGCGGGGTGTATTTGTTGGAGTCGGTGACGTTTTCCGGGCCGTGCAACGGACCCATTGCGTTTCTGAACAAAGGGACCCTGCGGGCCCCGACGGATCCCAGCAAGTTCATTACCGACACGTGGATAGGTTTCCGGTATATCAACCGGTTGACGGTGGCCGGCGGCGGGTACCTGGACGGAGAAGGCCCGGCTGCATGGCCCTATAACGATTGCAACCGTAATGCGGGATGCAGGCCCCTTCCAGTTGTAAGTTCTTCACTCTAATTTGTTTATTTAAATTTGTTAGGATGGTTTTGTGTGATTTTTAAAAGAATCATTCCGTCGGGGTTTGTAATGACAGATCATCATGCAACCGTCGAGAATATTTAATCTAACAGACAAAATGATTTCGTAACAGGACTGTACCATCTCATTTCAATTATTTGCGTTTTCTCGTCATTTGCATACTTTTGCAGTAAAAAATTGGATTATTGGTATTATTATTATTATTATTATTATTTACTTTATTGGTCAAAGATTTGAAATGGAATTGCCTTTTTAATTTCCACATATCTTTTGCTTATGATGCGTTGGACTTGTAGCATATTTGAGAAATCAAAGATGGAGAATTAGGTTATAGGTATATTTGGTAAATTATCTTGTAGTTAGTAGCTGTTAAGTTAACTGATAGCTCTTAAATAATTTCGAGCTTATTGCTGCTGATAGTTTATGATTGATGATTGAAAACATAGCTGATATAATAAAAGTATTTGACAAAATTACTTGATTAATCAATTGAAATAAAACAAAATAAAGATGAATTGAACTTTTCTATCAAATCAAATTTGTTTCAATTGAAGAAATTTATAAACTCTAAGTAAATGGGCTATAAACTAGCTTAACATAGCCTAATTTAAGCATCCATTCTCCATAAAATCTTGGCCCCAAAAGTAATCCATGTAAAACAATTATTATTATTATTATTTTCAATTTTGACTACTCATATGAAAATTGTTTTATTTTTAATCCCTCACTTGAAAACAATGTGATCAACTGTTTCTTTTTGGCAGTCATTGAGACTTGATTTCGTGACCAACTCAAAGGTCCACCACCTGAGATCCGTCAACAGCAAGAACACCCACATCAACCTCTTCGCCTGCACCAACGTCAACCTCACCCAGCTCCGAATCACCGCCCCGGCCGACAGCCCCAACACCGACGGCATCCGCATCGGCTCCTCCAACACCATCCGCATATCCAACTCCCGAATCAGCACCGGCGACGACTGCATCTCCATGGTCTCCGGCACCCGCGACGTCGACATCTCCTTCGTCTCCTGCGGCCCCGGCCACGGCATCAGCGTCGGCAGCCTCGGCAAAGGCCCCCAAAACGAGTACGTCCTCGGAGTCCGCGTCTCCAACTGCTCCTTCACCGGCACGGAGAACGGCGTCCGCATCAAGACGTGGGCCCCGTCCCAGTCCAGCCTTGCGTCCGGCATCACGTTCGAGGACATTGTAATGAGATACGTGCGGAACCCGATCGTCATCGACCAACAGTACTGCCCGCATTCCAACTGCATGGAGGTAAAATCGAAATACGACAAACGCTTTCGATTCATTTTCTTCTATTGACTCTGAAATGATAACAGGGTTTTAGTTCGGCCGTGCAAGTGGAGAATGTGATGTTCAAGAACATTCGGGGGATCTCGCAGACGCAAGTTGCGGTTAACTTGCTGTGCAGCAATATTCGGCCTTGCAAGGACATTAAGCTCGTTGACATAGACTTGTCGTACATGAACCATCGAGGACGGGCGATCGCTCAGTGTTCGAATGTCTTGGGTGCTGCCTATGGACTACAGGTCCCTGCTGGTTGTTTGTAGTCTGCAAGAACATAAAATTGCAAGTGGTTGCTGTGTACAAGTATTTGAAATGTACCCATATTACAATGTGAACTGTTTCAACTTCTCCAATTTGCAGAGTTGCTTGGATTTGCTTAGATATGAAGGAGAAAAAAAAAGATGTGGAATAATATTGATGAGAAACTCATTCATGAATATCATATCAGACAAATTAATGTTCTGAGATAATATTCAAGACTTATCAAATTATTTGCTTGATATATACTTCAATTTTTTCACATATAAAGTTGCAAATAGACATCATAAACACATACTAAGCTAAACAAATGAGCCACAATCGACTCGTTTCCAACAAGTTCCATCAATTGTTCTGCACCATAGAATCAAACAATTTCCAGGCTTCACACTAAAGCCTGCAATCCGCGTACATTTGAAGTATCGTATTCCGAATAAACGGGTCCGATTTGGGTCCCAGCTTGATGATTCTCCCGTGAAGCTGTGTGCCGAATACGGCAAGCTCGAGCCGGGTGTAGGCCTTGAAAACCGATGGGTAAGTGAGCCTTTCGGGCAGACGCCAGCAGCAGTTCAAAGAACAGGAAAATTGTCATCTGAGGGTCCGAGCTCAAGCAGAAACTTATCTTCGCCTATCTTCCGCATAGTTGTTTCACACTTTCTCATTTATCTTGTCTGTTTGTCGCATGCGATTTCACATCAAGTATCTTCGTATGTCTTCTTTTTATTATATCACATAATTGTTTTGCACTTTATCAATTATGTTTGCGTATTTCGTCGCATAGTTCATCGCATAACTATGTAATCGGATATCTTGTTAATATACTACATACCCGTTGGATCGATGCCGGCATATCCAATAGGTAAGTAACAAGAATTTTTTTTTTTTTTTTTTCTATTCTTTTGTGGTGCAATCAAGGACTCCATGATGAGAGTATTGTATTTTTTCTTGTTTTTATGAAGACTTGAATATCATGAATATTTGGGACAAATTATGGTTCGAACGTGATCAACATAATAACAACGAAAATGGGTATAACTCAGACTTATCTTTTTGAAATAATTCCATTATATTAATATTTGCATTGTAGCTTTGGTAAGATAATATTTAGTGTTAATACCACTAATTGGCCATATAAATTTACAAAACCTAAATTTTAGCCTTGTTTTGTAAAAAACATCTTTTTTAGCCATTTTAGTATGTAAAAATACAAAATTACCCCCAACCCAATTAATTCCACATTTCACTTTCACTTCCCCAAATTCACTTTCACTTTCACCAAAAAAAATCACTTCCCCCCAAACTTACTTTCAGCAAAAAAGATTGAAAAAAAAAAAAAAATTCACTTCTCGACATCTTCATCCCGTGGCGACCTCACCGCTCGACCTCCGCACGACCTCGCCGGCTCGACCTCCGCACAACCTCCGACCTCATTCTGTGGCCACCTCTCCGGCTCCACGACCTCTGACTTTGTCCCGTGGCGACCTCACCGGCTCCGAAGAGATCCCGCAAATCCTCCGCAGCTTCTCGCCGGCTCCGAGGAGATCCTGCCAATCCTCCGCAGCTTCTTGTCGGCTCTGAGGAGATCCCGCCATATCTTATCTGGCCCCTGAAATCAGGTATTTAGGGTTCTTGTCCCTTAGTTTTTTTTGTTCAAATTAGGGTTCTTGAAATCATGTATTTAGGTGGACGTTGAGCACGGCTTAGAATGTGTTTTGCTTGAAATCATGTATTTAGGTATTGGCTTGTTCAAATTAGGGTTCCTGTTGCAATTAGAATGTGTTTTGCTGAATAATTAATTTTGGTGGAAGAGGCATATACTGGTGGAAATTCCTCCAAATGACCCTGTGAAGAACAGAATTTGTTTAAGTGACCCTTGACCAAAATGCTACAATTAAAATAAATAACTAATCATATTAAATAGACATTTACTAATATACCCTTAACACAATAAAAAGGTATTTCCTTCTTCCTTCTTCATTTTTCCTTCTTCATTCTTCTCCGATCAAAATCCGCAGCAACTGTCGACCTCCTCTCTGGTGTCTCTCGTCCATCCTCCTCTCTCTCGTCCGACCTCCCTCTCTCCGTCGACCTCCTCTCTTGTCCTCTCTCGCGCCCAATCTCTATGGAGCTCACTCTTCCCGTCAATATCGGTACATGTTTGGTTTTTTTTAGTTTTTGTCAGTTTCTTCTTTTACTTAATTTCCTTGTGTTTGGACCTTTGATATTCGTGGAGCAAATTTTTGATTGTGTTATGTGAATGCATCTTATTTTGATAGTTTTTGATGAAAGTGAAAATGGTAATAGGTGCACACTAGGTGTTTGATGAAATGCTTGTATTATTGAGTTGATAGTAATTGGGTATGCTTATTGTTGTATACTTTGAAGCAATCAATATATTTAGTTTGAATGTTTGTAATATTTGTACCTTCGTTATGCAATAGATTATAACGAATGTACTCTCGATATTATTTTATTTTCATCCCCGGTCGATGGAATACTTTGTCAATGATTATACCTTAGTTATATATTACAATATAATGAAAGCACTCTCGTTGCAGTGTCGCAATACATATAACGAACCTTATTTTATAAAATAACGATACTTGTTTTTCTATTTCTATAACGAACCTTATTTTATAAAATAACGATACTTGTTTTTCGTTAGAAATAGATAGAATGAAGATAACATTTCATATGGAACTCTTTACTGCCCGACCTGCTTGGTTTGATAAATGATGTTGACCATGTTATGTATTTTCTTGCCTTCAAAATGATATGAGTTGTTGCTGAGGTTTGGGGTGTAAAGAGGGGATTGTGGGGAGTCTCTGTGGGTGAGGGTTAAGGTGAAGCCATTTGTGATTTGGAGAGTGTATGGAAGGATAAAGAGAAAGAGTGATAGGAGATTAAGATACATGGTTAAATTTGGAGCTATTTTTTGAAGGCTTAGAGTGATCAAAACTCTAAGCTTGGTTTGATGCTTGAGAAAAATAAAATAGAAAAGAAATGTGTTGCAAATGATTTTTGTTTGGCCCCATTTGTGACATGTTGGTTGCTAAACATTATGGTGATGATAAGAATGCTAAAAATGTGCATTTGGAGATCCTAAGGTCATTTATGAAGTCTTTATTATGTTGTGATTTGAGAAACTAAAAATAGAGAGTATAGGTTGATTCCATGTCGTCGCTGGAGCGACGAGTGTCGCTGGCGCGTCAAACATGATGGCCGCGGGCGCGGCACTCGTCGCGGGCGCGACAGTAGAAACTGAGCCTCTGAAGGCTGTCTGAAGGATGTCGCGGCCCCGTTGCGCCCGCGACACCAAGGTTGTCGCGGGATCTTTTTTTTTTTAAATATTATGTGTACATGTTCCTCAATTTAATGCCGAGAGTAATATCATCTTTGTAATGTATTCGTATAATGTGTTTAATCTATTTGAGGTTGGTACTTATTAGTGTTGATCTATATGATCTTAGTAGTTATTGCTTGTTTAATCTATTTAAGTTTAG